TCATGGAAATCTATATCATTGTGTTTTTATTATTTTTAGACGCCTAATTTCAAAATTGTGAAAGTTGTTTCCTTTATTAATAAAAGCGAACTTCGGCGTGAAATATCAGGGAAAAAGTTGAGAAACTTAATTTAAAGGAAGATCTCACTGCCGGCCATTAATAGTGGAAAATTCTCGACTAGGAAAAGTTACATGCCCAGATGTAAATTACTACTGTTCGGGACGATTTCCCTTGATAACGGAAGTTTATGACCTGGCGATCCGAAAATTTACTAGTTAATTTGGTAATGGAACTGAAACGCATTTCCGATTTATAGGAACTCTCTGTTTTAATTGAAAATCAGGTGTAGTAGGTACATTACTTAATGTTTATATTTATGGTATTATAAAAATAGAGTTAGTTTATCTAATTGAATTGTGTTTTATGAATGAAAATGTGAATGTATCCTTATGGAAAAACGTTAACCAGTGTTATATTCAACCGATACCTATCAAAAAGGAATCGTTTCCAACATCGTAGGCGTTTTTCTTTATAGGTTTGCTAATCACTCTGAATTATAAAAATTAAAAGTGGATTTTATTTGAAAATGCTTTAGTTCCTTATCGCGCGTTTGCCCTAGTTAAATCCAATGATTGCACGAATGTAGAAGTTCTAAAAAACGAGTTAGTCACACATTATACTCATTAGGAAATAGGACGCTTTTGATAATGGGTATTTATTATACGAGGGGTGTAGTTGCAAAAGTCACAATCTCCGTCATAAGCAGTTTCTGAAAAAACAAACAAAAAACTTGTCGTTTAAAAACCTTAAATTTTTTCTTAAAACTCAATATATATTAAAAATCGGAAAAAAAAATCGCTTTTCGATGGTATAAACCAAAATGCGATATTCTGAACATTTTTGAAGATATTTCGACGTTTTGTTTGGAAAATGTGAGTTCTGCTGCATGCTTTTGAAAAATGTGAGTTTTGCAGCGAACAAATTTGAAAATCGATAATACGTTAATTGGATAATGTGAGTTTTGCGGCGAAATCTTCGTTTAAGGTTTAAGTACTCTCCTATTAGGGGAGAATGTGATTTATGATACTTCAAGAATTACACATGAACGCGTTTCGGTTATTGTGCGTTTTGCTGCGAATCACGACTTTTAGGATTTAATTTTAATGGGATATAGTCACTTTTGCCGGAATTTTATATTACTATGTTCTAGAATTTAGATTTCTTTATAGTCCAGTACCATTGACTCATTTTTGGTCAAAAGTGGATAATGTAAGTTCTGCAACTACACCCCTCATACCTAAGTAGGTATGTGTTTTCTTGCTATAAAGTACATTTTGCTCGAAAACATGCTCATAATTTTTCTTTTTCAGGAAAAAAATTGGTTACAATAAATATCTGCTATTATTCAACGAATAGGTACACATTTTTACAAATAAAATTCTAAGATCTCTCGTGAAAACCGCAGTCCTATATTCAAAATAGTCTCCGAGAAAATTCTCTGTGAAGATAAATTATGCAGGAACTTGTGATGTCACAACCGCCGAAATCGCAGTCTTCTGTTCGTTCAGTCGTCAGTGAACCGTACCCTAAACTTTGAGTGGTTGCAATTCGCTCTAGGAGATAATTGTCTTTTGTTTTGGAAAATTTTTACACGTGTTAATACTTTCCCTGATAATCCAGTGTGACGTCACAAACACCTAGTTGTAACTTTAAACCGCCCTAACTCGAAAACGGACCATCGTAAGAAATTAGAGAGTCCATTCCTTGGCATATGTTTTCATTGTATTTATTTTTTTTCCATTAAATTTCCCTTTGGAATTGATTTTTTGTTTTATCTGAATAATAGATGCTTTTATTCATCATACGTTATTGTTCCACATAAAGTTATATTAAATTTTCAAGGGTTTAAACTCGACCGTTGATTATCTAGTCTGTTTTGGAATGAGTTAATACTTGGACCGCTCACAGTGTTTTCCGAGAATGCTTTTCAATGATAGACAATTCTATTTGTCAAATAGTTTTTACGGGGTAATTTTGGGATCTTCTCCTTCTCCAGTTTTTTGCTGTGTCCTCGAAGGTGTACGTTTGCATTCGCATGGAAAATATTGAGAGTAGCGTTATATTATAGGTATGGGTTCAAAGTTTTGTAGGTCTCATTAAGATCTCCTCTTAAACGCCTTATTCCTCTTGAGAGTTTTCAACTTTAGTCTTTGTAGTCTTGTAGTGGTATAGTCTAACTGTGATAATTCTGATGGTATTTTTGTTACACTTCTTTGAACTTTTTCTAAAGACTCGATGTCCTTTACAAAATAAGGGTTCCATATTGTTTCGCCATATTCAAGTTTTGGTCTAATATAAGTTTCATATAGTTTCAATATGGTGTCCATTTAGTGGTCTGAGAATGCTTTTTGGATACAATAAATGAACGAGTTTGCTTTTTTTACTATCCTATGAATATGTGGTTCCCATTTGAGGTCTGCGTTGATGATGACGCCTAAATCACTCTCGACATTACCTAGATTGGTACCATTTAGTAATAGGGTGTTATTTCGTTGTTTATTCCATTACTGAGTACCATCAAGCACTGTACCTTGGGCTATCCCGCTGAGAGCCACATGTATACCTATGTCATCTACTCTTGTTTGAAAAGTTCTTTTTTCCAAAAAGTAGGAGAGACAACCAACAAATCAAATTGTTTTGAAGATATATATAGAATAAATTATTATAACCGATAAATATCTTCCATGAGCCTCGTCTCGGGATAAGTTAGACATAATGATAGGTGTGAGCAAGTGTGAAGTTGTGGGGATTTTTGAATCTTTCAAAAAAATAACTGTAATTTAGAAGATATGAATGGGGAGTTTCATTGCGATATTTCCTCTTTCAACTTATTATCATTGGTTTTTAATCCATTTTCGGAAAAATAAAAGCTGCCACTATAAATTCACGACGTATGTCAAATTTGTTCACTTGATGGTCACTCGGAACACACATTTTACTGATCCGAACATGGACGCTCGTGTAAACGAGCAGACAGATCAATTCGAAATCCGAATTTATTTATGCTCGTACTTTATGGACGCAATCATGAATCATGAATCATGAGCTTTTCTTGGCAATTCTAGACTATCTCGGCATCAAAAAAAATGTCTGTTAACTTACTTTATGCACCTCACAATTAACTAACAGTCTGAAGCTCACCAATATGTGCACCTGTACGCAGACGATACCCAACTGTACATGTCTTTTCGCCCAGAAAACATTCTTGAAGCCAACGATAAACTAAATGCGGACCTAGAACGGTTTCTGAGGGTTTCAATCAATTACTGCTTGATGCATTATCCTGAAAAATGTCAGGTATTGCTTTTTGGGCGTGTGCAGAATCGATGTCAATGCCAGAACATGCTTCAAGTTAGCTTTGATGGTCAAATTATGAATTGCTCAACCGTAGCTAGAAATCTCGGAATTTTGCTCGATGTTAACCTCTGATTTACAGGACATTTTAATAATAATTGAATCAAAAAGGCATTCGCTAAACTGACTGTTATTTTTAATCAGAGAAACCTCTTGATTGCCAATCTCAGGAAATCATAATGCGACAGTCTGGTCTTATCATAATTCACATTTTGTGATGCTCTATACGGCCCTTGTCTGCTCGAGCGAGCTTCCAGAATTGCTGTGTGCATACGGGAGTTTGATAGAGGGGTGAGCGATGAGATGAGAGAGATAGGGTGACTCAGCATCAGTGAAAGAAGAGTGTTCCATAGCTAAGTGATGTTTAATAAAATAATTTTCAAAAAATGTCCGGATTATTTATACCAAAAAATAAAATTTAGATATGACTCTCATGCTCTGGATTTGAGGCATAAACTTACAATCACAAAACAACTCTATATATGATAGGTCATTCACTTATCAAATCTCGCTACAATACAATAAAGTTCCAGTTAACTTGAAATCTGGTCCCAACCAACTTTTCAAAAATGCAATAGTACATTTGATAAAAAAAATAACGCTGCACCATAGTCTGTCCAGCCACTCCACCTCTCCTTGGTGGATATCTCTGCTCCTGACATTTTTTGATAGTAGTTGATCTAATTCATTCTCTTTTCAACTTAATGGTATGGTATATTGTTTTAATGGTATGGTATATTGTAAATCATTCAGTTCAGTTGAGTGTCATCTTGGATGATTGTTTTTCTGTACCTATTCATTTGTATTGGTTAGGTTTAAATTATAGTATTGGGTTAAGTGAGGAAGCTTAGCTATATATACCTATGTAATGATATTAAAATAAAATGGTATGTAATGGATCAATTTTGTGTCAAGTATTGATGACAATAAAGTTGAAATTATAGACAAGAGGCGCTCTAAATTTATAAAATCAAATATTCATCCAATCAAAAATCCAACTGATAAAATTCTTATAATCATATCTGCAATCCCGACATTTCTCGGTGCAAAAAAGGCGATTTTTTTTGAAGCCCATTAACTCAACATTTGAATTAAAAAAAAAAAAGTCTACCAGCCACAGTTGGAACATGAAAAGGCAGATTTGCTGGTGCAAATTCATCATCTTTTATTGAAAATTAAAAATTACCGAAGCTGAACGGAAAATAAAAAGGCCCGTACCGGGATTAAAAGATAATAAAAATTTGCTTTGGGTTTCAGGCCGGGTAAGTTCTTAGAAGCTCAGTGAATCGAACTGTTCTTTTTGCTAAGAAAGATCCTTTGAAATCCTATAATTATGTTTTGAATAGAAGATTAATCTCATAATAACGTTTTTAAGATGTTTTGTTTGTATGCAATAACTAGGTACTCATGTATTTTTATTTCTCATATCAACTAGGTACACTAAATCACTTATATTAGATTATATCCCTACTTACATATTATAAGTGTCCCTTTCGCTTATACAGCAGTTTATTTCCGGTCGACTATCTCTATATCCTCGACTAGGTTGCCCTTTGTGTATACTAATACGATTTATCCTTTTCAGGAAGATGAATGGAAATGGGATATTTCGGCTGATCCTCTTCGTGGCCGTAAATTTCCTGTTCGATAGTCCAACAGCAAATGCCGGTAAGACAAAACGATTTGACACGCTATTTTGACTTATTCGGGTCAGAGTATTTCCATTGTTAATTGTACAAAAACGTTTCCGATTTCTGTCAGTTCTATGTCATCAATTATACCTAGAACTGATAAAAACCAAAACGTTATTTAACGACTTTTTTTAAGAGGAAATAATAGGCAAAAAAGGTCGTAGAAGCAAACTTTGGTAGAAGTATACCTACATAAAGACAACAAAAATATACAGGGTAACGTAAAATTAACGCTTGTGTTTTTGGGTTTTGATGCAATAAAAGTAACAATTTTTCAATTTTTTTGTGGAAATCTACTGTAAAGCTGTTTTTTGGTTGGTATGCTTTCGCTTATATCGCACTGGTATGCTCGAAGCCGGTATGCACCTAGCGTAGTACTCATTGACTGAGAATTCGGTTTTTTCCATTGTCTTATAGAGCAAAGCCACACGTATTGTGTAATCTGGCAATTAGTTATTAACAGTTGATATACTACGACTATGATTAAACACCTATTTCGTAGAAGCTTTTTGGTTTATAGCCCCAATATTGTTGCAGATATTGGAGGTTCACAAGTGGCACTAAACAAATTGGAATATCAGTGTCTAGCATATCAATTTGAACTTTGTGCTTAGAAATAACATTTTTTCTGATTCTTGTATCTTTTAACGCTAGGTATTTTATTGCTAGTGATTGTTGACCTCAACTTTTCGGTTCCTATTATACTCCCTACATGAAAATTTCCGCAGTATCTCTGGCCTACAAGAATATTAGATGAATAAAAGAATCCGCCATTTGTATTAATACGGCATAGGTTTCGCCTAAAGAAAGCATAATATAAAAATAAAAACTTTTCCAATTTTTTTTCTTAAAATTCTGAAAGACAAATCTTCCTTCAAGCAAATTTATTATTTAACTGAGTTTTGCGGTTCAAAACCACAATAAGCATGCAAACGACACTCCATTCGGCAAACTTAATCGCGGCCATTTTTCTGCAACAGAGCGGGCATGCACACAACAGTTTAGAGTTACCATGAGTTACTTACCATTCTTAGCCCCCCGTTTCCTGCATGAATTTTTCATCAGGCCTCGCTCAAGCTTCGCCTCGGATATTTTCCAACTTTTAAGTGGAACATCAGGATTTCGAGATGTTCTCCCTTATATTTTATGAGTATCGTAAAATTGCAGAACTTTTCCGATAAAAACTGCACGCTGAACTTTTCGCCAGGTCAGGCGGATCATTCCGTTTTGTGTGTGTTTTTTTTTGGGTCGGCTTATGAATTTTATTGGTTATTCAAGGGATCGCATTTGAATTATACGAAATTAAATTAATATAGAAATCAAATTTTCAAGCTCTTTATTCGAAAGGTGGAATTAAATATTCAATAATTAAATGGCTCTCAGTAATTCTGGTAGGTAGGTAGTTTTCTATCAAAGGGTTGGTATAACTAAAAACAAAATAAATGTTTCAATGCTTGAACGTGCGTTCTATTCAATTTCTCTTTTATTTCAAAATTATTTTTTCTTCTTTAATTTGGTAAGATTAGGTATGCCAAATTATAACCCAATCCGGTACTTATTCGTCATAAGCAGAATATTTGTTTCAAACTTTGGTTCACGAATTTTGCGACTCCGGGTTTTCTCTAAAATCTGCACCAAATTAATACTTAATTACTCACTTGGTAACGTTAGGTCATCATCATCATAGGCGATCACTCGATACCGAGTATGATTATCTCTTATTCTATTCTTATTATCGTCGATTGTGCGTTTTCTGATGGCTATGATGTTCCAATTCTGGAGCCGCACACTCTTCCACAGTCTTGGTACACCCAGTCTGCGTCGCTGTTCTTCAAAAGTTTGTGGTTCGTCGTGGACTACTCGACGTCATGAGTGCCTATCATTTGCCGTCCTCTCCCAGGTGCTGGTATCGATGCGGCACTCTATCATAATCTCCCTAAGAATATCCTTGTAGCGTTTTTCTTGACCTTTCTGATTTCGTTTTTTCTGCAGCTGACTGTAAATAATATTTTGTAGAAGACGTGTTTCGGGCATGCAGACGAGGTGACCTGTCCAGCTATAAGTTGGTGCTTAATGATGAGGGCTTCCATGCTAGTTGTTTTCGCCTCCTCTAAAACACTAATGTTCGTTCGTCGGCCATTCCGTATAGGATCCTTCTCATGCAACGCTGGTGGTATTTTTCTAGGCTTTTCATAATTGTCTTCTGTAGGTGATTGTTCCATGTTTCCCAGCCATATGTACCTAAGTGTTGGTATTACAACTGCATGATAGACGCGAAGTTTGGTCTCAGCGCTGAGTCGTGATTGTTGAAGACTCTCTCTAGGAGTCGCCCGAATACCGCGCCAGCACACTTCAAGCGATGATGGATTTCAGCGTCAATAGTGGCATTCGCTGACAGATGTCTTCCAAGGTACGAATAACGTGTTCTATGTTCTGCAAAGAATCGTCGTTTGTAGTTATATTTGGAGCTTGGGGATTAGTGCCGGTGCGGGTGCAAATACTGCTTCTTGTCAAAGTTGACCCCGAGGCCAATTCTTCTATATGCCTGGTTGAATTCATTGACGATTGTTTGAAGATCTTCCTCTCTATTGGCCATCACGAGGTTATCATCCGCATATTGAAGTTCAGTTATTGATGTCGTCGATACTTTCTTCTTGGCTCGTAATCTGCTTGGGTTGAATAAGCCGCCATCAAGTCTGTACAGGTGACCTTCGACAAGGTGAAGTATGGATCCTTTAATAGGCCAACAACAAGCGGTTAAAAATTGAGAAAAAGGGTTGATTTCCCGAGACGAGAACTCACTTATTTAGTAATATTTTTTGACCGGATTAGAAAATAATAAAAGATAAAAATCTAAAGAATAATGCTGTTGTTTTAGTTTTTCGAAAAAAAAAATTGCAAATTGAAAATATCACGACCTAAATACTCGAAAAAAAGCATCATTTCTATCGCTCGGTAGTCGGTACATCCAAACCCATCCCTCTTTTTAAAAAAATGAAACAAGAGCATTGTTCTAAATTTTATTATCTTTTCGAATCTTCTTGATTCACTAAAAAATATTAAGTAGTTTTTGAGATCTCGTCTCAAATTGTAAGCCCTGCAAACACGGAAATTCAAAAATTTTGGCTGCAGCGACGTGCTGCCTCTGGCGGATTTAATTTCGCACCGGGGTAAGTAAAAATTACACGACGCGAGAGGACTGCAAGGCCAGTTATTAGTTTGTGTAAATAATTATGGTGAATATATTTCATAATGAACTCAAAACGAACAAAGATAACTTTACTAGAATTCAGTAAACGAAAGAGGATATCATATAGCATAGTTAAATACAATTAGTACGAATAAAATCCATCAAAAATACAAGGTGGATTTTTTTTTCAAAAAATCTCGGATACGTCGATTTTTGATTTTAGTGGCTGTTTTTTTGATGAGAATTTCATTTATTTGTCAAAACTGACATACCAACAATAAACTAACATGTTTTGATTGTTGATTTGAACCAATCAGATTGGAATTACGTGATAATTTATATTAGTGTAAATTATTGCATAGTAACTAATGCGAGAACTGGTGTTTTAACAAAAAAAATTTGATTCATGACATTTTCTCATAAAATACAGTGTTAATCCACTTAAGTTCGCAGCACATGGGAAACTTTTTTATTATCAATTTTACAAAAAAAAGTTATCCTTTATAAGAGTTTCTGCTTCTTGAAAAAATAATATCAAACTATTAAGAGTTGAAATAGCATGTACAGGGTGGTCAAAAAATAGAAAAATATAGAGGGTATTTCCTAAGTACGGTCCGTAACTTTAGATGTCATTCCTTACGATATTTTAACAAAAAAAGTTCCCATAAATATGTGACCAGAAATGCGTAGTTTCTGAGATACAGGGTGTCAAAGTTTTAGAAAAAATCGTTTTTTCAGCTCAAAAATTTTTCCATTTTTTTTTTTTAAATTTGGCAGGTTGATTTGTGATATGAAAGGTTTCTTTTGACTGAAATATGACTTGCTTAATCTGAAAAAAATATCAAAGGTTTAAAAAAATAGTGATGTGCCATTTTTTTTCTACTTTTACCAAAAAACCCTGCATATTTTCCTATTTTTTAATAACCCTGTACCGGGTGTTTTTTATCTTCGATATCATTTTGATCACCTGTAACTTTTTTGTTTTTGAAGTTATCAAGGTAAGCAAAAAAAACAAAATGTAGGGTTAGTAGCCAAGTTTTTTTTCAAATTACACGTAAAACAATACACTATCAACTTTTTGACATATAAGCCTACATTATATTTTTTCAAATGGAATACCCTGTATATTATATATGTGTTCGATAGAATATCTTATTCTGATTACAATGATATAGCACACTTCATATTTTAATCCACTCGTTTTTGACAAATCGGCAAAAATATGAAACTTTCGAAGTGAAACTTATTAGGCGGCGGTCTGATATTTGGAACGAAAATTATTGAGAGCATATAAAAATTTCATATATTTTTGCCGATTTGTCAAAAACGAGTGGAACAAAATATGAAGTGTGTTATATCATTGTAATCAGAATAATATGCTCTAACGAACACACATATAATATACCGGATGTTCCATTTAAAAATAGTACATTAAAATACAAACTTCATAAGACGTGATTTTATCGCACGAGCCCTATATTAGAAAACGAGCCGGAGGCGAGATTTTTAAAGGACGAGTGCGATAAAATGTCTTATGAAACGAATATTTTATACTATTTTTTCTATTCTGGTATTGTTTAATTAAAAAAAAACAAATTTTTCTTGGAAATTTTGTTCTCATATTTCCTGATTTCATGTTTAGGTTGGTAACATTACATGCCAAATATAGAATTAAGGGCGGGTATTATAAAACTACTTTGAGAGTTAACTTAAAGTTAATTTTTGAAATTACATGTAATTCAAATAGTTAACTTTAAGTTAACTGTCAAAGCAGTTTTATAATACTC